CTCAGAACAGTCCTTCTAGGCATATGTATCATTATTCCACATTTCACACATGGGGAAACAGATTCAAATATGTGAAATAAACTTAACAGATGCACATAAGTACTAAATATCTGAGATAGGATTGAATCCAGGTCCTTATGACTTTAGAGTTCCCACTGTTTCCATTACTCTGTGTTGCTTTTCTAATTATTTTTGAAGTCAGGAAAATGAAGATTTTTTTTCTTGACTGCGAGTCACAATTTTATAGCATGACAAAATGTTTTAGTGTATGGTATCCATTAAACTAAGTCTGTAGTTTTACAAGGATGTATCTTCATACCATCAAAGCCCTGATTGTTTTTCTAATGTACTTTTATCTATTTTAATATCTCTACTGAGATATGCAGTTTAAGTTCTTCATTAAAAAATAATGTGCAATTTCTTGAAGCTAAGGATGTTAGGATGTGCATTTATCCTTAACCCTCTGAGCCCCAGGGCCTACTCAGAATTTTAAGACTTTTTAAAAAACAGAATTGAAATCTGTTCCATAAGAATCCACATGTAACTCTATCCCATTTCAATCAAACATTATAATGAATATTCATCTTCTTTTTGCCCATGCAATTTTATTTTGTGCATTTTTTATATTATTGAAGAATAGAATCATGTTATCATTCTGGGACTTTCTTGTGTCTGATTGCTTGATTCAACACAATTTTAGGAACACCCATGTAATCATCATTTTAGCATTAGAATGCACCTTTGGTTTAAGATAATAGTCATGTGAGTGTGCAGGAGTTCTCTGATTTAAACGATTTTTGTGGCTATAGTATATTGGAAATGGAAAGAATAGAAAAAACTTTTAAATAAATAACTTCCATTATTATTTCCAATAAAATTTCTAAGTTGACTGCTTCCAACTCTAAGCATTTATAAACATTTGTTGATGTTTGATTGATTTCCATAAATTAATTTTCAGAAACTCATCTGAGAAATTTAGAAAGCAATATCCATGGCTTTAGGCATATGCCTTACTTATATGGATTATAAATGTAATGAGAGGGCCTCCCTGGTGGCACAGGGGTTAAAGTCTCAGTGATGTGAAGCTATCAAGCTATTGCCAGCCACTGTAGCATGAGTTCGATTCCTGGCCAGTGAGCTAACCTGCATGGCATAGCAGACCTCTCTTGTCTCCCCTGCTGCTCCTCTTTGCAGTGCATTTCAGTAGATCCGCCTGTTCTGCTCCCCACTCTGTCTCTGGTGAATCTGCTTATCCCCTGTACCTCTATACCCCAGTTCTTGTATGTATGTATGTATCAAATCTTAAAAAAATGTAATGAAATCAGAACATTTTCACTCTCCATCAGTAGCTGATATAGGTATTGGAGAAAAAAATATCTGGATGTTTAATTAATTTGATAGATTTTAGGGTTTTGAGTAATTTTGATTCAAGATATGAACCTCTTTTATGTGAGCTATTATATAAAATTATATCTGGGACATATTATAGATAGCTTAAAATGATTTATCAATAGAACTAGGATCAAAATTCATTCGATAAAATAACATGCAATAAATTTATAGTTGGCTATCAAGTGAAATATGTGTTAATTCTTCCAGTGATTATTTTCTCACGATCATGACAATAAAAGACTCCCCATCCACACCAACACTTTCTTTCTGGGCTTTTCTGTATGGGCCATTCTCACCAGTGTGAAATGGTATCACGCTGTGATTTTGATTTGCATTTCCCTGATAAGTGATGATGAACACTTATTTTTTTAATGTGCCTTTTGGTCATCTCTGTATCCTCCTTGGACAAGTGTCATTTAGCACTTCTCCCTGTTTTTTAATCGGGTTCCTTGTTTTCTTTTTTTGAGTTATGTGAATTTTTTGTAGAATCATGGATATCAGCCCCTTGTCAAATGTATGCTGTGCAAATGTTTTTTCTCCCATTCAGTTGGGTGTCTTTGTTTTAATGATAGTTTCTTTTACTGTGCAGAAGTTTTTTAGTTTGATATAGTCCCATTTTTTTAATATTATCTTTTGTTTGTCTTATCATTGAAAAAGATTTTTTCAGGTATTCAAAAATTTACTGAAATTCATTTTTACTTTAGACAATGATAATGTTTTCTTTTGAATTATCATTTTTAACTCCTGTTTTTAACTTCCTATGTATGTTGAGTGTTGTATAATAGTGCAACTTGACTATGTTCACTATTTAATCTAAAATCGTTCATGTTTGTTCCCAAATAATAGTTGTATAAATGCTGTTGGAATAGTGATGATTCCCCGATCTGGGCTATAATTTAAAAAGGGATAGGGACCAGAAAGCCAGTTTCCTTTCAATATTTTTTTATCTATAATAGTTAATTACAAGTAAGATGTATTGTTTTTTACCTAGAATACATTTTATATTGTAGTAAAAGTGGGTTTGCAGTATTCTTGGATATATTTTATTTTCTCAAATAGTGCTGAACAGAAAAGGTAAAATTGCTTTTAAAAATTCATTTCCCATGTGTAACCCATCAATTTAACACTGAATTCCATGGACATAATTAAAATCTTGAATCAGTCAAACATCTTTTCCCCACTGAGGCCAGATCCAGTCCATAGCCTTATTATGATGCTGCCTAGACATTTTAGTATCTAAGTTAATACCTACTATGGGGTGGATTGTTAGTACTTCTATAAATGAAGAAACAAGTTAATGAATAAACAATTAGGTAGAATGAAAAACAGAGCATCAAAAACCTAATTTGAGTATCACCTAATTTATTCCCTAAAATGAAGAATGAGACTTTTACTAAATTACTCTTTGATACACAATCAGTCATCCCTCCCATGGTCATCATGGATGCACAGACTAAAGCAGAGAAAATGAATGACTAAAATACTAAATTAAATTTTCTGAGGTGACCAGCACAGTCTTCTGCTCAGCTTCTCAGAGACAACAAGTGTTTTACCTTTCAGATAGTGTATCTGCCTCCTCAACTCCTATCATTTTAGTATTTTGTTGTGTTGATCACCTGCACATATTTTGAAATTCAGTCTTATATGCTTTTTTTTTTTTTTTTTTTTAATAGAGGCATGTTTTTATTTTATTTATTTATTTATTTGATTTGTTTTTGTTTTTTTTGTTTATACATGCACTGGGTACAGTCAGAAGAGCGGGAGGGTGAGAGAATTCACCAGAGCCAGAGCAGGGAGCAGAGCAGGCAGAAGGACCGAAGTACACTGCTGAGGGGAGCAGCGGGCGGCAGGAGAGGTCTGCGCGCCATGTGGGACCCTCCTCCTGTGGCCGGGGAGCAGCCGGGGATCGAACCGGCGCCGCAGAGGCCGCGGGCAGCTTCGCAACCCAGCGCTCAACCGCTGCGCCACCGGGGAGGCCCGCTTTTTCTTTTTTTTTAAAAGAAAGATTTATTTATTTATACAAGCACCGGGTACAGTCAGAAACACAGGAAGGTGAGAGAATTCACCAGAGCCAGAGCGGGGAACAGAACAGAAAGACTGACTAAAGAACACTGCTGAGAGGAGCATTGGGCACGGCAGGAGAGGTCTGCGCACCATGTGGGACCCTCAGCCAGCAGCTGGGTATTAAACCGGTGCTGCAGAGGCTGGGGGCAGCTTTGCTGCAGCCCAGCGCTCAACGGCTGCGCCACCAGGGAGGCCCTTATATGCTTTTTCTTAAGCTGTGTATCTTACTTGATCACCATTTTTGAAATTCACCTTTTGCTATCATTTTTATTAACATATAATCACATAATATTGTGTAAGTTTAAGGTCTACATGTGATAATTTGATATATTTGTGAAATCACCACAATAAGTTTCATTAATATATTCATTATCTTATCTAGTTATTTTTATATGTGTGGTAAGAACACTTAAAGTCTGTTTTCTTACCAGCTTTCAAGTGTACAATACAATATATAAAATATAGTTGCCATGCTGTTCATTTGATTCCTAGAACTTACCACTTCATAGCCATTTGACAAATATCCCCCTATTTTCTCTACCTCTGGCCCCAGGTAACAATCAATCTATTTTCTGTTTTCATGAGTTATAAATTCCACATATAAATGAGATGATGTGGTATTTATCTTTTTTCTGTCAGACATATTTCACTTAGCAAACCACCTTCATTTTCTACCACGTCATCAGTTGTAGGATTTTCTTTACTGTGAGTAATAATATCTATACCTCTATATCTATATCTATATGAAATGGAATTTTCTTGGTCTCTGTCATTTATCTATCGATAACCATGCAGATTGTGTTCTTGTCTTGGCTGTAGTGAATAATGCTGCAATGACCGTGGGCGGCGCTCATATCTCTTCGAAATACTGGCTGTATTTCATTGGATATATCCCTAGACCTGAGAGTGCTGAATCATATGGTAGTTCTATTTCTTAATTTTGTAAGGAATCTCCATACTGTCTTCCATGTAAAGATTTACATCCCCACCAACAGAATTCACAGGTTCTCTTTTCTCCATACTCTTTCTTTCATTACTATTGCTTGTCTTTTTGATGATTAGCAATACTCAGCACCTTTTCATGTATACCTGTCAATCACTTGTATGTCTTCTTTAGAAGACATACAGGTTTTATTTGCCCTTTATAAAAATAGGATTATTTGCTTTGCTTTTCCTGATGTGTTGCATTAATTCCTTATATATTTGGGGCATTAGCCCTTTATCAAATATATTGTTTGGAAATATTTTCCCCATCCCAAACATTGCCTTATTATTTTGTAGATGATTTCTTTAGTTGTGCAGCTTTTTAAGCTTCATTTACTTTTTCATCACTACAAATATAATTATCTTTCAATAAATAGCTGGACTGAAGTCTCATAATCTTGACCCAGGATATATCATTTAGGATTAAGTTCCTTCCAAATTAAAACATTCCTCTGATGAGCTGCCCAGTGCACTAAAGTTGCATTCCCTGACAGTCCTTAGCCCCACCCAGCTGATCTTTTGTGTACAGAAATGTGAATGAGAACTTCTAATACCAAGAACTAAATGCATCTCAGCAGCCTTGCCCATGTCTTCATTTAGCCCATTTAACTTTTTACTGCAACCTCTCTGAGATGGGGTTAGTGCTGCTATCATTTAAAAGCCACAAGAGAGCTACAAGAAAAACAACTCTAAAACCCATCTATCCTATTGAAGTCAATTGTCTAGGAATGGCATGGATAGAGAAAACTTCTTAGAGGGTCAGCTGTGCATGTTTTATCTTTTTTTGAATGTTCAAGTGAAAATAATTACCAGAAAGTCTGAAGTGATTACTGATTACAGTACTGTGATTTCCATCCTTGTGTGATTTATAAAACTTCAGTTTTGTGAACTTTGATTTACATAAGTCTTAAGAATTGTGCAATGTCGACTGTGAAATTTGAACTGGATTATCTTTCTCCTGAAGACTTCAGACAGGAACATGCTTCCAATTCAGATTTTACGTTAACCTGTTTGACTGAACTCTCTGATGACTCTAGTGAATTGGAACTTCAGCACTACAATTCTGTTCCCACTGGTAAGCTCACCTTTAGCTTGATATTTTTGAGTATCTTAACTTATGTTTGTGATTCTTTGATGTGAGATATGTAAAAAGTAATATGTAAAAAGTAATATACCGCTCCTTACTTTGGAGCGGTATAACTGATGTCAGCTTTAATTTTTTGAGTTGCATTTTTTTCCTGAAATATATAAAGACACTTCTGCAAAAAGAACAGAGGGTTTTGCCAATAGGATGAAATATCAGAAAACAAATTCAGTGAACTCAGAAAAATGTTCATAATGTCATAAATATTGTTTTACTCAGTCTTGAAGTCTGTCAAAACTTTGTTTTGGGATCACAAAACAGTCTTTCATGTGAGATGTTCATGTTTCATGTTGATGAAATGAAGATTTTATTCATCAACTGGAGAAAAAAAGTACTGCCATCTTCTATTCATCTCTCTTATTTTTCTTTCCTTTTATAAAATTATGTGAAGTATGCTAGGTGTGCTACTTTCTGGTTAAGAACAAAGTAATATTCCTTTTGGCTATGCTAATGTGTGACATGATGACTTAGACTTGATAGAATTTGGTGTAAGGAATTTTTTTAAATGCTGTTAGTGTTACTTATTCAGAACTGCAGCTTCTATTCCAGCTCTGCAATTTTGAGGGAACAGTGTTATACACTCATAGTTTGCACTCATCAAGAAATTCTGAAAGTCTGGTTTATGACAAATAATTATGAGATGTCAAAAATGAGTTAAGCAATGCCCCCACAGCTGTGGATATTACTGCCCATTTCTCTTTGTCCAGTGAAAAGTACATGCAGAATAAAAAGTTTCATGTTGCAACTAGGAGAGTCTTCTAATGAATCTGTTTATTTATTTTGAGATTTTTTGGTACAGATTTGTGTGAATTACAACTGATTGCCGATTTGTAGATATTTTGGTATTATACGACCTCTCTCGTAATATAAATAGTACTGTAATCAAGAGAGCTATAACACCCTTTTGTAGATTTTCTTTAAAATATAGGAAAAAAACGATGTCCGTGCTATTTTTTTTTTTTTTTTAGTTGAGAGTCTTATTGGGTATTGAGCATGCAGTTTCAAAGTAGTGAAATCATTATACTTGGGGAAAAAAATAGGTTTATTGGCAAAAATAGTATTTACTGGCCCAATCATGATTTAAATGCTCATGTCGTATTCACCATTGTTTTGTAGCCATTTGTGATCTAGTTAGTGCTTCTGTTCCTTTAGAGTCAACTGTTGACCTATACCGCTACACCTTAGGCATGGATTCTCTCCCAAAATTGCATATGCTGTAAAGAACTTGGAAGACACTTTCACCTTGATACATTGGCAGTGCTTCAAAGTCAACATGAATAAACTAAACTCACTGAAAATGCCTCCTTCTCCTTATGTCCTTAATTTTGTTGATTACCTTCTGTCATCTCAACCATTCCTTAGCTTTATTGCAATACACTTAGTGTTTACTTATATACATATTAGTATGGTGTTTGCCTTCTCTGCCTCATGTCCACCAGGATAGCCCCAGTACACATAGGTTGCCTGGTAATAGAGGGTTCTTAAAAATATGTCTTGAATCACTGATTGCCTGACTGAGGGACTGAAAGATTGCCTTCTTCATTTCCCCTAGTCCATGCACCTATATGGAGTTCTATCTGATCTCTCCTCCACATTTTCCATAACAAACCTCTTATCATTTATTAGCCAGGGAATCCTTCCTGGGTCATCTGACCCATTTGTACATTTGTTCACAACTTCTGTAACTCTGTGTCACTGCATTATAAACCTGATGCTCTGGTATCTAAATCATTTTTTTCCAAAATTTACCCAATCTTTCCAAAATTTACCCATTTTTCCCAAAATTTACCCAACCACAAAGATGACTTACATTTTCTAATCACTGTTCATATAGTTCTTTAAAAATAATTTCCAAAAATTATTTCTCATGCCATTATTTAGGAAGATATTACTAAGATAAAATGTTGCTTCCCGAATATCTATGGTGAACTCTCTGTACATAGAATTTTCTTCTATTGCTAAACTTCTACAAAATGTTTGTATTGTATTTTGAAATGTTCACATTCTAATTTTTGTTGTAAGTACATATGCTCACAATTGGTCTCTCATTTTAAAGTTTTATGAAATTTTTGGAATTTATTTGATATGCTAGATCTTTTGGAACTGCTTTCAGCAGAGTCCAGTTGTGTTCATTCATTCAAAATCTATTGAGAGAGTTGTGCCTGCTAAGTTGATATGAAAATGAAAATAAAGTGATAGTAGATGAAGGGGAAGAGTGGTATCATTCTAATCTCAATGAGGTGATAATGTGATTTTAACGTTCATGTATATATTCCTAACAGAGAGAAATAAATTATAACAGGTGATTGCTGTTCCATACAAAGTTAAGCCAGTGAGTCTAAAGAAATATATCCTGTTATTAGCAAAAACACTTTACATCTTTCACTTATATAATAACTTGATGTAACTCATATCTACAAAGTCTCAATAGTTCTCAGCAGGAATTTGTATAATGTTTGTTCATCCATTTATATACTTGCCAGAATATTTTTTTTACATCTATCTACGTATTACCCAAGATAAGTTCAGAGTCAAACCCTTCCCAAAAAGCCCTCCTTCTAGTCCTTTACAAACAACATCCTATTTTCCCTATATTGAATCCTTAGGGTACTATTTCCATGGCATTAATATCAATATGAATTTTTTTTTCATTTAGTTTGCATCTAAGTTTTTTTAGTTGTTAGATATTGGGTGTGGTTTTTAATATAACTTTACCACATAGAGAATAAATTCCCAGAGGATTTAAGATGTGTTGCATTTCAGTTTTATTCCCCCAAAGAGAGCTATGAATGAAGAAACTTCATTACTTGTTATTAACCCCTTGCACTCCGAACCATTCTGGACATTGGCTACCAATATCCCCTGAGAGGGGACAGCGGAGTGCAAAGGGTTAATATGACTTTAGAATATGGACCAATTGATAGAAAACTTTACCTCCTTTGTCAAATATTTTAATATTACTCTGATTTCTTAATGGCTTTGCCTGGGAGCCTTCAACTCATTGTGTCTCAAGAAGAGCAATCTGGGTTTATATAATATGCATACTTTGGCTATCCTGGTAAAATGAAAAGTTTATGCTAATGTGATGTTGTAAAATGAAATAACCCCAACACCATAATTTTTGTTAAATGCCTGCCAGAATTACTCTAAAAGGAATTGAGTACATCTACTTAAAATTCAAAGCGATGAATTGAAAAGTGGCCTTTCTTATAATATACAAAGACATGCTAATGGAAGTATTGATAAGTGGCCATTGCATTACTGCTAATACCTTGTGGAGCTCACTAAATTCTATAGAAGAGAGAGAATGAAATTGTGATTGAGTTCAAGATAGAGATAGATAAACTCCTGGTAGATGATTCCTGGTACTTTTTTTTTATATTTTTTGGACTAGGCCTCAGTACTTTGATTTACCCATCACCTTGTGCAAATGAAAGCTTATAGTAGAATGTTTACGATGAGATTTTGAGGTTGGCATGATGAACTATAGCCACAATCTCAGGCTTCAAATGCTAAGTTAATCACCTTGGTCAGTGCTGTTAGAAAGATGCCTTGCTCTTTGTGGGATAACTATGTTAGTATTCCTCTTTTTTTCTGATCAAGGCCTATTAACATTAAGCCAGGCACACAGCCAGACTTTCATTCTTAACTCATGAAATTCTAACAAACTCTGGCTTTAACCTCTGCTCTCAAGGTTTCTGACCCTATATCCTTTTACAGCTAAAATAGATGGAAACTAAGCCTCATATAGAAGTTTAATGTGTCCCCAAGGCAACATTGAAATTTTCTCTTCCTCCCACTAAAGAGAAAAATTTATTTAATTTGTAGAGGGAGGAGGAAATAGCTAATCTTAGGCTGTTTATAGAAACCCCTCCAAGGTTTGCAGATTACCCTTGTCTGTCTGATTCAGTTCTATTTCAGGGTAAAACTGAATTGGGTCCTTCATGTTCCTGTTTTCCATTTCATGTTGGAATGGCACATAGACATAAATTTATAATTGCCTAACCACTGAGAGATGTCATATTTTACCATCTGGTTAGTAACTGGGCCAAAGATTCTTCTATATTCTGAGAAGCTGTAGATATGAAAGTTGATCATATTAATGACTTCCCTATGCTTTTATATTTTCAGGTTAACTTGGGACCAAATGCCAATAGATTTGTCTGCCTTATGTGAGGAAAATATTTTTTTTTTCAGAAGGTGATTTTAGGATTAAATACATAAGGCCTATTTGGGCAGTTACATCTAACAATATTCTCTTTATAGAAACTGTTAGACACGTTTATTTTAAGAAACCTTTTTTTGGCAACATTCTAATTAGGGATAGGATAGTAATTGATAAAACCACATTCTCTGGAAGTGTGCCTGATGCATTTATGACCATAGATTATTTCATTAATTTAGAAGGGAGACTAAGCTTGTCCAATGAAAGTGGAATTTAGAACGTTAGTTGAGAATGCTGGGCTTACCTTGTAAGCTTGGGGAAACGATACGAGACTGGTCCTGACTTAAAGCCGTCATGAGAAGATAGTCATGTTTGATGGGGGACTATTTGTGCAGCCTCATGATGGAGAAAAGCCAGAGGAATCAAAGTCAAGAGATAAACATTATTGTAATGTTGAGTATGAATCAGGTTCCAACTGAAGCGAGTCAGAACCTGAAGCACAGTTAAGTCCATTCTTTTTCTTAAACCATTTTATATCAGGATTTAGCAAGCTATGTTTAGTTTGGTATGCTAGAAAATATTTTCCCCTTCTCATTCTTACCTTGGAAAATCACTTTTCTTCAAAATTTTTCTTAAATATTTCTTCCTTTGTCAAGTTATTTTTTGACACAGGTTGGCTGTGTTCATCAGCTTATCTTAATCTTTATCATATAACATATTGATATGTTTAAATACCTTTCTATCTCTATATTTTATGGTCTCTTAT